CCACCCGACCACCCACTCCCAAATCCGCAGGAAAGTAAACTCGGACTGGAGATGACCCTGGGCGTGAGGGGCGACGGGGAGAGGGGGGAAAGGAGGTCATCCGTGGGCCTGACCTTCACCTCTGCCCTTGGACCAGAGAAGCTGCCCCTGCAGGAGCCCCGAACCAGGGGTTGCTGGAACCCGCCTCCTTCCCCGCCCCCGCCCCATCGCTCCTTTTAAAAACAAAATCGGGTTTATTGGGGCCAGACCCTAGCCACTTAAAATGGCCCACTGCCCTCTCTGCTCCCTCCAAGGCCTGTCGAGATTGGGGGCCAAGCCTCCCGCACTCTTGTGCTGGGAGAAGTGTGCGTACCAGACAGCCAAGCCCTGGCCCAGGAGCGCACTCACTGGCCCTCTTCCCTACGAAGATCCCATCCTCCCCATCACCTTGAGCCTTCCCACCTTCACACTTTCGCTGCAACCCTCCCTCTCACCTGGAAAGCCCTCGCGCCTTCTCTCTTCTCACCAGAATTCCAACGCTTTTAAAGGGCTCAGCTTGCACTGCCTCCTCCAGGGAGCCTTCTGGGAGCCTGACCCTCCCCCCTCCCAGTCGTGCTCCCGCTGCATTCTGGGCTCTTCTGCCTGTCCTAGATGAAGACTTGTCAGCGACTAGCCCAGCCCTCGGGATTCCATCCTGCCCTCCTGCCGCGGGGGATGGGGTGGCCTCCTGTCCTGCCTGGTTGGCATCTGGGGTGGAGAGGATAGGAAGTGCCCCTCTGCGGCCACAGGTGTGTACTAGAAAGAGCCAGGCAGGGGTCTGTCTGCCCTTTACTGGACCAGGGCAGGAAAGCAGGCTGGGGGTCTGCAGCCCCTGTCCTGCTGCAGGTCGAGTATGTCCCTGGAGTAATACTGGGCACTGGGCAGCAGGAGACTAACTCCCAGGCCTCCCAGTGCCCTCAGTGACGTCTTAGTTCCCTGGGACCTACCAAGCCAGCCTAACCTGACCCTTGCCCACCTTCGCAGTCTCCCCACTCTTCCTCTCTCCTCCATGCGAATGTCTTTAGTGTAGGTGTATGTCTTCTTGTCTGTTCATCTGCTTTT